GAAAAAACGGGTGGGGGGACCCCCCTTAATTCTAGCTACTCACGTTCGAATCGTCGTCACAGCAGAGTAAGTTGTTTTAGTTTCTATCTTCCTTAACTTGTGAACGTTGACTTTAAGACAGCAGCGGGCTATTACAGCGACGTGGGCTATTAGAAAAACACGTTTTCATCTTCGGCCAAGCACTTTCAGAAAACCGTGTTTTTCAGCAGAAATTCCACAGGATTTTGGTCTATTTCGAAAGTGCTTGGCCGAAGATGAAAACGTGTTTTTCTAATAGTCCACGTCGAGTATATGCGAGATATATGTCATCCAACGTCCTGTAACCCCGTGGAATGGTGCAGCACGTAGTCAAACTATGAAAAACGAGGAAAATCGCCTTTAGAAGTTTATTTTTTCTATCATTGAATATTTTTTAATCTCAGTGAGAACCACTTCATCGGATAGAGCTTGAAAAGACGCGTCGAATGCATATATTGCGGCCTTGTGTTGACATGATTTTATGGGGAAATATCGTTTAGAAAAAAGGTCTACTTTTCGGAAAAAATGATTTTTTTAAAAATTTCCCTGAGAGTGCACTTAACATTTTGGAACATTGTGTCCGTTAGTGATTTTGTAGCTCTACACATATAGAATCTAATCTGACGGTATCAGCTCATGAAAGTACTTCACTAAAAAATGGTGAAAATGCCCACAAAAGGTCTATTCTGCTGGAAAATGGGATCTTCACAGATCTAGGAGGTCACCGTGCCGTTGTTTTAGAATCTTTTAAACGTGATATTCGTCATCAGGAGCTCAAGTTGTACTAGTCCTGTTACTCTCGAACAATCCGGATAAAGTCGATGTAAAGCCTGGTACGCTCTCGAAAGAATCACCCTTTCATCTTTTGTAGAAATTTTTTTTTTATCAATGTTTTGATGCAATATGGAAACTTTGTTCCGCTCAGTCCGCGCAGAATTTGACGGTGCATCTTTTGGTTAGAATAGATTTTTCCTACAACGATCTATAGTCCCGGGATCACAGGCAAGGTTTTCGAAAAATACTATAAAATACGTAAAAATGCACAGAAAAGAAAAATCGCTGTTTCTCCATCAATATTCGTTCTATAACCATAAAAATTTTATGGTATGTACAACTTTTGATCCTCTATCAATCCATATAAAAATTGGGTAAAAAGATTGCATAGAGATATTTTTCGAATTTTTTTGAGGGTAAAGGGTCCTAAATGGTCTATACCTTGTGAAGGCTGTAACTCGATCAAAACAACTCCGTTCCTCATGAAAATTTTATGGTAAGTGCAGTTTTATTTTCTCTACAAAATGGTTTAAAATAATTGATACTAAGGGGGGAGGTTAAGTCCTCCCTTAAAGTTAACAAAAATCTGTGATAAAAAATCTTTATCAACTGCTCCAGTTTCTAAGAGAATCATTCAATCTACTTTACCTTTTTCGAATAAAAGAAGTACTTCATGCCAACGTACATCAAGTCCTCTGACGTTAAATAAGAGCACATTCAAGTTAGAAAGAAGAGTCAAAGAGGGACTAGAAATCTCAAGAGCTCTTCAAGAAGAAAAACACGTAGACAGGGTAGGGAAGGTGTACCACTCGTTACAGATATCTGACAATAAAGAAAAATCAGACTTTGACAAAAAAGGAACAGTTAAAGACAAGGCATAGTCCATATCAAATTTTCTTTTTTTCCAGGCATAACAAAAAGAAATTCTGGGGCAAAAGGAGATAGTTCCATCACATCCGGATGTTGAGGCATATGACGTTTTGATTATCATCACTCTGTGTTGTCTTACTTTCTTGTTGTTGATGAGAGTGCCTTAGTTTTAATACTAATTCATGTTTTTTATCTTCATTGTCTGTATGTCTCGTCATCCATTTGATAAACCCAGTTGCAAGTTTATCACAATAAGCTGTTAATGATGGGGCTAATATTGATGAATCTTTGACCATATTTTGCTCAATTAATAATGGAACAATTTCTAAAACGAGTTGGCAAACAGGAGTAACAAATTGACTAACAAATTCTTGTTGAAATGTTACATCAATCTGTTGTATTTCCATTAATTGTTTTTGTTTATTTAATACTTTTTCAAATCGTTCGTTCATGGCGATAATTCGATTTAAGTTATCGTCAAGCTGTTTCATTCTATCTTCTAAAGTTGATAAACGATCGTTGAAGTGATTTGAACGATGATTAACAAGCAATGGGAATTCACTCTCGGCAACTTGAAGATATCCCTGTTTATTTTGATAATTGTTGTTATTACTCGTTGTTGTTATTGTTGTTAATAATGATTTGGTTAGTGCTGAACGATAACTTTTTATCAAAGGACAACGAACGTCATTTGATTCATGATCACCATTGCAACGTACACAATTTTGTCTCTTATTACATTGAAGTAGATGTTGTTTAATATCTGCTACTTCTTCCCCACAAGTTTTACATACATCCAATTGATGTGTGCAAGAACTATGAAAATGATCGATTTCAAAACATTTTGAACATAGTAAAACTTTAACTGGGCTCACATATTCCATCAATAAATAGCGAACATTATTAACATAAATAAATTTCTTGTGTAGAAGATCATTCATTGTCGTTGGGTTACGAATATCTAAACGAACTAATGTTGTTGATTGCTTTTCTTTGTTTATGATTCTAAATGCGTTGATAACATCCAAATGATCCACTTGTATATCTCTTAACAAATCGTCAGCACTAAGATCAATTGGTACATTACGTAGAACAATGGAAAATTGTGGAGGTAAATGTTTTGGCGAAATCCGACGTGGTAAACGTTTGTGGCCAAGTTGTGGAGGTAAACGTTTGTGGCCAAGTTTTTTCATCGAATAGTGCCGCAAACGACTCTCGATTTTTAACAAACAATAACAAATCATGTTTTTGTTTCAACCGATAACCGTCAAATTTGATATTAATATTATTAATATTTTTATAATGTTGTTCAAGATCTTGGATAATAACATTTTCTGTAACATTTTGATTAAATTTAATAATGAACGGTGGAAAAGCATATCTTGTTTCAGCAAATCTATGAGCTTGGTGTGATATACCATTGATGATAACGTTTGAGCGAGTATTATTTGACCGACGATTGGATATATGTAAATAAGACGATGGCGAATCAGTAACACTATCTGTATTCGTTGATGCAGTCTGACTCGGAACAGTGTACGATGAAGAAGAATCAGTATCAGATCCAGTAGTTGTCTGATGATGGATCTTCGTTTTTTTATTATTACGAACCGGGATAAAATCATTATCAGTATTACCTTCATCCCCGTTTTGATAAGTATTTTGAAACTGTTGTTGTTTAGAGTGATGAGATAAAGAAGGATCAAATTGTTGTTGCTGAATAGGGATCACAATCTGATTATTATTTTGACATGGTGAAATTATTGAGTTAATTGAATGAGGAAAGGGTCGAGCAGCTAGACGATTAGCATTATCAATCGTTCGCATTTGCTGCTGCGATCTGAGTTGAGAATTATCCACCATATGTGAAACCACTTGGTGATCTTGTTGAGGAAAATTACTGCTCATTAAGGGTAGTTTTGAGCAGTGGAAATTTTGCGCGGGAATTTGTTGTGATGATACTTGAGGGTAGCAATGCTCATAAGGAAAACTACTATTCATACTACATGATATGATTCGACCCGATTGTGAATCAAAACCAGAATGATATAATACTTGGTTTGATTGACGAATCATAGCCGAGGCCGGACCCTGAGGGTTGGCCATAACCCCGAAAATTGTTGGAGAATTCGATCACGTTTTAAGAAAAACACGTGGCCGATAAGAAAGAAGGAAGAAAAATACCAGTGTAAATATATATATGTACTTTCTGGAAATCAAAACATAATGTTGATGGCCACTTCCAAAAAGGATAACAAAAGATTCGTGGTTTTCTCAGAATGCGAATGTTATCAATTTTTCAGAAGAGGGCTAATGATTAAATTCAAAGTTTCGGATTCAATCGTCTAAAACAACAGATTGTTGAGAAAAGGTATCTTCTCGATTCGTCCCTAATCGACTTTGTGAGATCAAACAACATCAAAGGGCACAGCAAAAGTGAGAGTGCGTAATTAGGGACGAATCGACAACCGTGGTAAAAAAGACGTTTAAAATTATGTTATGTCAACGCTTTTCTTTTCTTTTTTATTTGCAAACACTGGCGACCCTTCAAGGTCCTAGCAGTACAGAAGTAGGAAGAAATAATTAACTAAATAAATGAAAATGCTAGAGAAGATAATTCTACAGATATGAAAATTAAAAATAAAAAAAAGCGATTCAAATTATTAATAACACTTGTAACAAAACCGAGAATATGGTACTACACAGCAATAATAAAAATAAAAACGAAAGTTTATTTTACAATTACATTAAAAAATAAAAAGAAACAGAAACTTTTTTTTTTTTTTACCAATCTTTCGCACGTTCGAAAAAAAAATAGGTAAGAAAAATGATGTCAAAAGGTTTCGGGGAAGTTACCCAGGGTCAAAATCTCATCCATGTCGTAGTTTAGGATCGATTCGTTCGGAGCTATTCCCGCGCACCAGGAAATACATCTCTCCAATACAGAAGTGTGATCCACATATCGTTTTGATCTGAAAACCCCCTTAATACTATTTTCTTTCTGCAACCAGGCCTCTCTAAATACATTCAAATTAGCCTGTTCGAACATTAGTTCGCCATCCGTCGTATCTGATAACACCGTAAAATACTTATTCCAATACCTCAAACACCTGTCCTCTAAAGATATTTCGTTAAACGCGAAAGAAAAGAAGTTATCACGCCACTGTAAGCAAAAAAAAACCCTTTTTAAACACGTATAATAGAAATGATTTAAAACTTGTTGTTGCTCGGCTGTAAATAGAGGAAATAAGGGAAACATCCACGTAAATAGAGGAAGAACATAGGAAAGAAACAATGTTTTTCTTAGAGAATGAGAGGTAGCACCAGCAAATCGAAAAGAATTGATCATTCCGATGCGTTGTCTAATTTTTATCATACTTTTTTTTATAAACGTACCAAGACCAAGTTTTGGTGTTAACCAGTATCCTAAATACTTGAATTTTTTTACCCATGGTATCTTATTTTCACCGCAGGAAATCTCGAACTCTGTCAACGCTTTTCTTTTATATCTGAATTGTTGCACTTCTTTTTTCTGTTGATTACTTTTAGAACGAACGAATCTATGTCTTAAATGAATAAAGTTTAAACTAAACTAATTTATCTTTTTTTCTTAATTAATTGGCTTGCAGAATGGAAGCTTTTTTCATTTATTTTCTGGCTTACAAAATGGGAAATTGAAAACTATATAAAATGACAATTAGCTTACAAACTGTGAGAATACCATATGATCAGAATGAGAACCTGTTTTTTTTGTTTGAGAAAATAAAGTATGTGAACTAATTAGAATAGACTTTTTCCACTATCAAGACTTTCTAGCTTTCTCTTCTGACCATAGTAGTGGGAGAGGATGTATAGCTAAACATCGTTTTCCCTCTAGTTTGGATTTTTTCCACGTGTGGAAACTCCTTCTGCAGAAGAGTAGATCAACATTTGGACTAAAAGATGAAATTTATTCTCTTTCATTTGGTTTGTAAGAGAAAAGCATATATTTCAGCTTTAGATTAAATTGGATTGTACCATTGGGATATCGGAGTTTCATTAAAAAATTTTATATTAAAAAACTTTCATTGAAAGGAAGTTCATTAAAATTTTTAACGAAATTCTTGTGCCATCAAAAACTCCAGGTCACAGTCGTTTTGCAGGAGACATTTTAATAAAAGTACCGGGACTTTCATTACAAAAACGCTTTAATGAAAGTTTTTTAATGAAAGTCACCCAACCCGTGCCATTGATAAAATATCTTAATAAAATTCTTTCATTGTTTACCTACAAAACAGATGTTTCTCTTTCTTTCTCTTTTTGCAAAAATAAGAGAAAAAGAAAGAAGCGAGGATTGTACACAGCGTGATGTGTGCGTACAAACGCTGTACTCGTGGATGTGGGCATGGAGATCTGACGAGTTGGCAATCATTTAAGGAAGAAAAAAGAAAAGGGAGGCGAAAAATATAAATGCTTGTGCAATTTTGTGTCATAAAAGTTGATGAATCATCGAAGAAGGAAAAGTTAGTCATATTTTTTTACAAGGATGAAAAAATACTGTAACAATTCTTGCCTTATTAAAAGCTCAAACACTGATTGACTCAACAAAATTATTTTTCAATTTATTTCGATCATGCTAAAACTATTTAAGCCGTCAACTTATTCGTTTCTTCCATGGTTCTATACTCCAGAAGTTCATGGTCATCCACCAGCAGTTTTACTCCATTTAACACATGAACCTCCACAACCAGATGACGAAGAAGAGCAACAACAATCAAACACCAATTCATCCATTGAAGGTTTGGGCACAGAATCTAATCCATTTATTGTTTATCGAAATAAGGAGGATGCATCAGATATTGGAAACAAAAAACATAAATTACGCAAACTCCGTTTTGTTTGCATGTCTGATACTCATAATCAAATACATAAACTGATTATTCCCCACGGCGACGTATTTCTTCATTGTGGCGATGCCGTAAAACACCGAACTTCTGCACGAGATTTAATTACATTTAATACGTTTGTTGGAACATTGCCTCATAAACATAAGATATTTATTTCGGGGAATCATTGCACTTGTATCGATCCGAATCATCCAGAAAGAACACAACAGATTTTATCGAATCTTGTTTATTTACAAGATTCGTCAGTTGATATTGACGGTGTTAAAATATATGGAAGTCCATGGAGACCCAAACGCGGTTATGTTTATCGTGCAGAAGCATTTGGATATGATGCGAGCCGAATTCAGATCGATAAATGGTCACACTTACCATCAGACGTTGATATTTTGATGACTCATGGACCGCCGTACTCTATTAGAGATTTTAATCCGAGCAGTGGTAAACGGGTGGGCTGCCCCGGATTACTAGAAGAAATCATAACTCGAGTTAAACCATCAATCAGTATTTTCGGACATATGCACGATTGTCACGGTGCAAGTTTGTATAGAAGTGCCGACAATGAAAACTTGATGCAATTTTATCAAGATAAACATAAAAACACTGCTACTACTGCTGTTGCAACAACATCAACATATACAACCAACGATGAAACTGAAATACTTTTTTTGAATGCTGCAATGGTTGGCGGGCACCATTTGCTACGGAATCCCATTGTATTTGATTTTTATTACTAGTTTCGACATTTGACCAAAAATATTTTTTAAAAATCAACATTTTTAATTTTCTTTTTCTACTATTTGCATATTCTCTAAATAATTGAAATGCAAGCTGTAGAGCTAAATTCTCTTTACACTTTGCTGGTTTGATTATTTTATACTAGGCATGCACCGAGTAATTAACTAAGGATTTTATATTTTTTCCAAAACCTGGTGTTTCGTAAATTGCTTTGTTAAAAATTTTCAGACTCGGTAAGAATGTAGAGCAAACATTTCTCTAAGAAATGAGAGGTTGAACAGCTCTGTACGATTTGTTTTGAGATTTTGGCAGCGATACCTCCAGAACACACGAAGTATTAGTTTGAATATTATTAAAACAGTTCACAGCCACCTTAGAATAAATGAATGGTTACAAGCCATCCATGTATTGATGATGACAATAAATGAGTAGTTTCAAATGGCACCTGCAATTGCTCCCGAAACGACGTTCAACAGGAACCTATCTTGATGAACGCTCGCTAAATCTCTAATCATAACTTGTATAGGATCGAAAAGACCTAGTCAAAGTCCATTTATTACCAACTGTACGGCAATAGCACTATCAAATCCGACATTTGGTGATTTTAAATGTTCAGGCGGCTTTTAACGATTGATCTTATATTTCGAATATAATCGTATATAATCTTTTATTGTTTGGAACATTTTTGGCCAACAGTATTTGTTTTTGATATTATAATATATTCTTATAATATCAAAATGTCCACTTAATGAATGATTATGGTGTGTATATAAAACATCATTGATCATTGTAGGTGGTAAATATAATAATTTAAGTTCTTTTTAGTCCACATGGTAATAATTCATACAGTAAACCATCTCGGATCTCAAATGAGTGTTTGCCAGATTCTTTTTGGACTTGTTTGATCTATCCTGGATAATTGGATCGTTGTCCCTGTTGTTGTTGTTGATTTTTTGTAATCTAACATCGAATAATGGTTTTGGTTGATCATTTGTCGTTATTTGAGTAATTGATGGCGTTGATACTAGATGGTTAGGAGGTGTCTCTTGTTGTTGTTTGCTCCTGATTGTGTGATAATAGGTGCCATTAAAAATAGATTTTGAGAAAGGAGGGAACGATTGTACATTAAATTTAATGTTGGATCAAATGTTGCTGAATGTTTGATTAACTATGGGTGTCTGAAGAAATAATCGGGTGCTCCATGCTTAATTCGTTGAACATATCTGACAATGATTTGCGGAATAAAGTCTTGAATGTTCAATAATCAATTTTCTATTCTTGAATTATATTTATTTATTTATCTTCCTATGGAAATTTACCAACGATTTGTAGTCTGTATGGATAATAAGTTGTTGCTTACCAATATATTCGCATAATTTGGTATACAAAATTGAATAGTAAAAGCCATCGTAGGGACCATTGATACACAGTAAAAAATAATGTGTCGGATGTTTGCGTCTCAGTAAAATGTGTTACAACTCCTAGGAGGAAGTTGTGTCGCAAAAGAATGTGTCGCCGTTACTACGTACTTTTAGACGCAAATCTTGAAGTCGTTTCAGGATCTACTCTGTTCAAAAGGTGGCATTTAGACGAAGGTTGAGTTTTCGCCGACTGGTAATTCATACATCAATAGCAGTAGTAGAGCACAAATGCAGGAACAAACAGTCACTGTTATGTCTATCACATTGAGTGACAAAATTCGAGAGTGGTTTCCTTCATCGTATTTGAATGTTTTGATCGGTGGTGTATTATTAGGAATAGCCTGTATTACCTGTTCGAATTGCGTGTACAAACATGAAAAGAAAAAAACATATGAATCTGCTAACGATTGGTCAATTATAACTCTTATTTTGAATAGTTTGGTGACACTATGGGGTCCAATTACTGTGAACATTTTGGTGAACTACTTCAAGCTATTTTAACATAAAAACCGTGAGAGAAACTAGCCTTCTTTGTCTTTCTATTTTTTCGTTAAGAAAATATGTTTATTTTTCCATATATGGAACATGTCTATCACATTTCCAGTTACAGGACTTAATTATATAATTTTCACATGTTCCTGCTTTGCATCCAGCTAATTTACAGCAAATATTTATGCATGGACAGAAAGCCATATACCAAAAAGTCAAAGTGTAATGAAAATATTTGATTTTCTGTTGCGAGAGCGTTCTTAAAATCTTCTCACTATAACTTAATATGGAAAAAACTAAAATATTTTTAACTGGAAACATAACATTTTATTTAAAGTGATTATTTTTAAAGGTCGACTTTTTAAAAAGAATAAAAGTTGAAATTATGCACCTTGTCGGGAATTTCGTTGTCTACAGAACGAGATATTTTTTTCTGGGAAAAGTGTTGAAAAATGCTTCAGAATGAGCACCACCACTTTTTAAAACGCGCCATGATGGGTGAATCATGAAATTAAAAATTTTCAATCGGTCGAACGAGAAGTCGTACAAGGTTGGGAGAGGTGTCATTTTATACAGAACTTTTTACTTTATAAATTTAAGTTGTTTCAAGAATTTTGAAGTTCTTTTTCTAGATAATACTTCTGAAATCAAAAATTCGATGCACTTTTTCAAAATTTAAGCTTGAATAAGAATCGTATTAGACTTTGAATTTTTTTAGGCCTCTATAGATAAAACCCCAATTTCGAGCTCAAGGTGACCGACTCTAGAAAATTCTTTATTATCAAAAAAATATAGTCCGTAAAATTTGCTATCGATCCATATAAATTTAATATTTCTTAACTGCCGTTTAAAAGGAAGAAAAGTCAAATTAAGAAAAAAAATGTTTAAACTTTCGTCGACTGGAAGAAAAATGTTTTAAAACCCTAAAAAGTTTAGTTCTCGTCCAGAAAAGTTTCGATTATATGGATCTTGTAGCCTTGGATCTAGGTTACTTATATCATACTTTATCCCTTTAAATGTTTTCCACTGAAGAGAAAAAACTGAAAAGAAAACGGTTTAAACTTTCATCGTATACTTTTATGTAACACGTGTTTTGAAGGTTTCTAAGTCCCGGATTTTGGAGATCCTAGTGCTCCGAAGAAATCCTGCTCCCTACCAAACTCAGCCAAAGCAAGAAGTCGCGTAGATTTGGTTTTGTAGAAGACATCACGCGGGCATTAGGTGAAAGAATGAAAGTGTACTTTTTTTAATATTCAAATAGTGACAAACATATCACCGAATCGAAAAATTTCAAAAGCTTGTTCGGTCGAAACCGATTGCAGATTCGTCTTCTCCATGGTTGATTATGTGGTACGCAATAACTTTTGGATCGGGGTACTTTAGAAAAAATTTTTCCCATGGTCTTGCTCAAAAACTTTTTAAAATGTTACTATATGGGACCAAAGGCAAAACGATGTTGAAAATTTTTTCTAAAGTACCCCGATCCAGAAGTTATCGCGTACCACATAATCAACCATGGAGAAGACGAATTTGTAATCGGTTTTGACCGAACAAGCTTTTAAAATTTTTCGATCCGGTGATATGTATACTTTGAAATACGCTCTGTTTAATGGTGTAAAAATGTTTGTTCCAATTGCCATAGTTTTTCGCAAAATATTTATAGAAAAATTTTGGTTCAAAAGCCGAGCTTCTCTGAAAAACAAGCAGGTCCTGTTCAGAGTGAAAGATATTAGTGCGAAAAATTATTTTTCTTTCTACGTTAGATGTTTTGAAAAATAATATATAATTTGAAATATTTGGTGGTGAGATTTTCAACATCCAAAAATATTTTTCATGGGTTTGTTAGAGATCCGGTCTTCAGAACACTCAGAAAAAATTAGCTGGGGATTTTCAAAATCTCACCATTGGAAAGAGCATATTCGAAAATCTATAAAATAAAAAGACGCGTTTATAGATCTTTGTACCGCTTCAACAGCATATGTCCACGTGCCTAGTCAAAATGTCCCATTGTACGCCGAATTCATAGTGCAACTTTTTTTATCATGTGCAATGTATCCTGCTGCATTATTACTTTTTTTATTTTGGAAATCACATACGAATATTTATTTTTACTAATAAATTTTGACATTTTCATTTTGAATTAACACGAGATCTTAATAATATTATTAGATGTTTTGTTTTGTGATAGAATTTTCGAGCATAGAGAAAGAGACGAAGTCACTAAGTCGCAAAAATAAATTTTTCTCGGTTTTAGACGATTGTTCTCCACAAAAAAGAAGAGATAGAGATAGATGTTGTGGAAAAAAGTCAGTTGAAAAAAATGTCGATGAAACTGCTAGTTTTCTTGCTTTTAGACAATTTCCTTTCACCAGAAAAGACATGCATCCACCTTCTTTTGCCGATTGACCATCATCTCCAGATTTAATCTAAAAAATTACCAAGTCATCAGCTACTAGCTATTGGGAATTTATTATACTTAAACAAGACCAAAAAAGGCAGTAAAATGGAATAAAAGGTTCTGATTAGCAATGTTTTTCATAATCGACAGAAATGAGATGTTTATTATTTATCAAAATTGTACGGATTCATAAATCGTCAGTAAAACGGACTTCTTTTCCCAGCAGCATCAACACCATTACTATAGTCTTGTACTTGTTGAGGACTGTGCGGAACCTACGGTATCACTTTTATGAAACCCATACTCTCCTCCCCTAGTCAAAGACTGTCTTTTGGTGCGTTTACTATCATACTGTATCAAAAACGACATTAAAAATTTGGAAATCTAATCCTATTATTGTACCGATTTGATTGTAGGCTTCAAAACGCAAAGGGTTAATTATTTGATAATAGCGTGATTTTCTCTATAGGCTTATTGATTAGAGTTAATATACTAGCAGAACAAGATTATCCTTACCATCCATCCATTGATTGGGATCGAAAAACTGAACGAATGGGATTAAAAAACTGAATTTGTTTAAGCGTACTTCTCGCCCTCTTTTCAACTAAGACTTTCGATTTTTGAGTTAGATATGCCACAATATACAGTTAAGTGCCCTATATAGAATGAGACGTCGCTCAGCCCTCTGTGA